CAGCTGTGTTTTATTTAGTTATAGTAGTTTACAGCTTTCATTGTCTGTTTTCTTTGATTTTGAGGAAACTTGTTTATTGTAGTCTTTATTTATCTACCACTAATAAGAAAATAAGAAAAATATATTGCCTAATATGTCATGGGAACACAATCTGCTTTCTTCCTCAGGAGTGAAACGCTCCAACGTACACAAGAATATGCAATCAGTGAAGTTGCACTTCAGATTCTTTGAGAGACTAACATGCACGTGTGATTAACAGACAATGGATTTTAATTAACATAAGCAGTAAACAGTTGCTTTTTATAATTAAGAAAATATGTTATCTGTGATTCAGTCAAGTCACATTTATTTATAAAGAAATAAAACAAAGAAAGCAGTTTGAATTTGTATCTAGAACAAGAAAGGTGAAAAAAACAAATGCAGTAATTCACAGAGTGACCACAGGAGGGCGCAGTTTCACCTTTAAACTCCATCTTTACACATTAGTATCTCAAACTAACTAATTGATCTGCTTCTTGGACACTTTGGAGAACGACAGGGAGAGGAAGAGAGAAACTGGAGGTAAACATCATGAACACTGAATTTATCTGTGGGTAAGAATTCAGTCAGTGTCCTAAAGACCGGAAAACAGGTTAGCTTCGTCCTGCTAACGAATGCAGTTACCGGTAGTTACCATGGTGACCCGAGTTTGACTTTCTCATGTTGCTTGGTTACCAAGAGTTCAAAGTTTAAAAAAAACAGAAAAACAAGTAAATTACATTAAGAAATATTTTTTATCATTAAAACATTTGATTTTTGACTTAGTCTTGTTTTTGTGTCCTCTTATTTATAACTTTTTCATTTCTCCGATAGAAACTTTCTGCGACACTTCCGGTTGAAGCTTCCGGTAATCACGCCCAGGTGTGTTCAGGTGTTCTCAGGTGTGTATATCATTGTTTCGAGCAGGTAAGCGGTGCGGACCGCGGGCAGCATGTTAGAAGAAGAAGGAGCCGGGGAAGGAAACATGAAGTCTAGATACTCAGTGAGTAATTAAAAGTCCAGTTTTGTGTGAAAAGCCACGAAATAGAAATACCTGGGGCTGCTAACACCTGGGCTAATGCTCATGCTGACGTCATTACAAATGTTTGTTAAGCGGATAAAACGTCAGAGTAAGATGATGATAACGTTTATCAATATTATGAAGGTAACGCGACGTTTTCTTTGTCTTTTCAACTTGTTTTCTCCAATTAAACTTATAAAAAACAGTTATCAATTAAAATGATAAAAAACAATTACAAGTAAAGGAGGTCGTCTCAAGTGCTCTCAGCCTGGATTTAAAAGCATTCAAAGAAATCACCTCAGTTATTTTCCAACTAATTGTTTAACTTCACAACACCGGGTTAAAGTAAAGCCAAAGTTAATAAACTAATATGTAAATTAATTAATCAGAGGTAAAATGATTTTCTAAACATTACTGTTCACAGAGCTCAGAAATTAAATGTTCAGCTTGCCCAAGTAATATGAATAGACTTCATTTATTTAATTTAAAAAGTAAAAGCTTTCTGTGTTTAATTCAAACTCAAAGAAACAGCAGTCTGATTCATTTATTATTTAAGTGCAGTAACCACCAGAGGGCGCCCTCTCCATATAAAGTGATTTATAAACGATAAAATGCATTTATTTTCAACCTATAACTTTAATTAGAGTTTGTGTTCTTGTGACAGTTAATGTATGGTAAAGATGTTTCTTAAGACCTTATACTCAATGTTTCTTTATTATATTCTACATTTAAAGTTTGCTTCATCCAAAACCCTTAAAGTGAAGTTAAACACAGATCATTTACAGTGAATGATAAAACCCAGGTTTATTCCAATCATCACAATGTTGTATAATCACAAACATTTTCTGAGTTTTATTAACTTGATGAACTAAAATTAGTTTTTCTTCTCCAACAGGAACTCTGTTGACATCTTCCAGGAGGATCCCCCGTCGGTGGCCGTCTTCCTGCTCAGGTAGGAGACTCAAAGCTTTCTTGATGTTGTTTTGTTATGTTCCAGGTTTTAGGTCTTATAGATGTTTAGACTCAGTTATTTTAATCATTTGACTTGATCCTTTTTATATTGGAGGAACATCAGGTGTTTAATGAAATACTACATTTTTATAATCCTTATTTCATTAAACACCTGATGTTCCTCCAAAAAGGATCAAATGATTAAAATAACTGAGTCTAAACTTTTATACGACCTAAACCTGGAACATAATTAAACATTAAGAACCCTTTGAGTCTCCTATCCAATGGGGATGCTGTGACACCTTCTTGTGCTGATGTAACATGTAGAAAAACACAGGTCATGTCTGTTCAATATTGTAATAAAACTACTGCTGTATCCATTCTGCATCAGTGACTTGTGTTACATCTGTGCTCTGGTCATCTGCCAGCTGTGTTTTATTTATAGTAGTTTACCACTTTCATTATTCCTGAGGAAACTTGTTTCTAGTAGTCTTTAATTATGTACAAATAAACATGTTTCCTAATGGAAAATTTGTTTTATACAAGATAACAAATCTAACACTTCAAGTTCACAACTGTGTGACAAAGGAAACTACTACAAAACATCTATTAGGAATTGAAGATGCTGACAAGACAAAAAAAACACAAGGTCCAACAGGAACAGGTAAACTTTAATCCGAAGAAACTCCTTCGGAGTTCAGAGCGAGGAAACACCTGGAATATCAGACACAAGAAACAAAGACATCAGGGTTTAAAGTTCATGTCAGGTTGCATCTATGAGTAATTTACAGCTAGGATTGTACAAAACATGAAAAGTAAAATGGGCCATTCTGATAATTAAGTGATTAAAAATTATTAATGCAAGTCAAAATAATCTCTACATCAAAGAGAGTGTTAGGATTAAAATTTAAAAGTTTGTAGCATCATGTCAATTTTGAATATGATATATAAAGAATATGACTATATGTGACTCAAACAGTTAAAATAAAAGAGCCAAGAAAAATACTCACCAAATGTTGAAGGAAGTGAGGCAGCGTGGTGTAGCAGACATGCTAACAGCACTTCATCTTGTTTTGGTCAGGCTGCCCCTAAAAGTGTTAAAAAAAGAAACACATCACAATTAGTTTAAACTTCAAAATGTTTGTTTTTGGAGACAAGTGAATAAAAAAGAACTGATTTATGAAAGTTAACATTCAGTTTGTTATAATGTCACATTGGGCCTGTTTTTTTGGAAAGTAACTACTGCTGTGTCCATTCTGCGTCACATTGACTTCAGTACCTGGGGGGGAGAGAGAGAACATCTGTGATCAGGTTCAGCTGCACTGCATTAGTCCTTAATGTCGTTGGTTATCTGCCAGCTGTGTTTTAATTAGTTATAGTAGTTTACATGTTTATTGTTAGCCGATAAATCTGTCGCCCAAAAGGAGAAGTCAATCAAATCCTTTTGAGGACCAAGACCTTCAACCTCGTCATACAGAGCACTGATAATAACTTTAATTATCTGTGGTTTTTAACATTCTCTCTCTCGCTCTCTCTGTGTAGAGCTGCTGGTTGAGTGTGTGAAGAACAAAGACTTCAAGAAGGTGAGTGACAGTTTCATCTCTCACTACAGACCTTTGCACCTCATTCCTACATACTCACATGTGTCTTTGAACTGAATCATCAGCTGCAGGAGCCCCACCTGAAGGGAGGCCGCACCTGAAGGGAGGCCGCACCTGAAGGGAGCCCCACCTGAAGGGAGCCGCACCTGAAGGGAGCCCCACCTCACTCGACTCATCACGCTGCCAGTGCAGGAAGCAAAGAGATGGTCCTCTACATCCTCCACAGGTGTGTGTGCAGTCCTCCACATGTATGGAGTGAGTCAGGATGTTAGTTACTCTTTTGACTTATTCACCACATTGAATAAGGAGTGAAAACTACAACACACAACAACATTTAGTTTAGTCATTACCAAAGTTCTAAATTCAAACAATAAACTAATACAAGACAAAAGAAAGCTTAGTTGTTAACTTCAGTAAAGTGAAGGAGCTTACATTTCTGTTGCTGCCTGCTCTGTGCAGCTTTGAAGATTAAAGAAGGAACCCTCCACTTCCTGCTTCCTTTATAGGCAGGGCTTGATCAGTCACTTCCTGTAGCAGTCTCTGACAGGCCAACAGGGGGTGCCATTGCACCATGCGTAGCTCATTAAAAGAATCCTTAATTGTTGTTGTTTTTTACGATTAATGAATGTATGTGGGTTCTTTTCAACATAGGAATATGATGTTTTTTTCTTTCTTTCTGTATTCTAGTGTTTGAATAAATGGGAAACTTTCAATGACAGGCTTGTAAAACAATAAGTCAGTTCAATCAATCTTTATTTTGTAGAGCGCCAACTCAATACAAATGTTATCTCAAGACACTTTACAAACAGCAGGTAAGAGAGAGTCTTGTCTGGGTTAAAGGCAGGGTTGATCATTTTCTAAAAGTAGCATTCCCTCAGTGCTGCGTCTGCACCCACCCCAGAAGTGGACCTCAGCTCATTGCTTGCATTGTCAGGACCAAAAGACAATTTCAACCACAATCTTAAAAAGTGGATCTGGAGAAGATCACCAACCCTGCCTTTAAGTAGTTTTTAGTCCTTACAGAAAAACTGCAGTAAGTACAGATTCTATTTGTGCTTGAAAACATCCAACATTGAACTGAAACCATGAGGTTTTTAAAATGTTAAACACTTTATTTAAATGTTAACAGAGTGTAGATGATGATGCTGTTCCTGTATCTGTGCTCTGATCTCTGTTCAGTCTATATGTGATGATATATGTGCCATCATAAACACAAGACACCAAAAGAAGCAGCAGGGGGGTTGATGTCTGTTCCTCGGGTGATGTTGTCTCTCTCTCTCTTTTCTGTTGACCAGGGGGGAGACGGTCCTTCACCGAGCTGCGTCCCTGTGTCAAAGAACTATCTGTCATTATCTGGTTGAAGCAGGAGCCTCGCTCATGAAGACAGACCTACAGGTACACTTCAGACGCTAACCTGCAGGCATCCAGTAACTCAGCAATGACCTAGATACAGAGAGAGGAGAGGCAGACAGATAGTTTCTTTCTTGGTGTTCACATATCATGTAAACAGTGTCTCTAGTGACGTCACTGATGATCCATATTTAACTTTGAACCATATTATCCTAATATATGATTGACCATATACAATGGATGTAACAATGGACGATTAATGAATTTAGGTTAGTATGTCCTTTTAAATTATATGAAGTACATTATATTAAGTAAGTTAAGTAAGTTTCATCCAACACACAAATCAAAGAAAACGGACAATACAACGTTAAACTAAATCTATAACTAAACAAAACTACAGACTGAAAGATTAAAACAACAAACTAAGACAAACTACGACTGAAAGAAAACTGCACAGAAAAGCTACAAGACAGCAGCTAAAAGGTAAACAAAACTAAACAACAGCTAAAAGGGAAATAAAACTAAACAACAGCTAAAAGGGAAATAAAACAACAGCTAAAAGGTAAATAAAACAACAGGTAAACTAAGACAACAAGTTCTTCATCCAGCCTTCTGTGTTTAATTTACTCAAAGAAACAGCAGTCTGATTCATTTATTATTTAAGTGCAGTAACCAACAACTGACCACCAGAGGGCGCCCTCTCCATATAAAGTGATTTATTTATTTATTTTCAACCTATAACTTTAATTAGAGTCTTGCATCATTGTTTGATAAATTATTTATATTAAAGCTGCATTTTTACCTTAAACCTTTTCTTCTTAGGTTTAATTTTACTTTTCAAACGTACTTTTTAATCAATTTAATTCGTTTATTGTCGTTTGGTTTTCTTAATGAAAATACCACAAACCTTTTTATTGATTTAATTGAAATGATTAATTTGTTTGAATTTATTTGAATTTAATTATTTTTTTCTTACAGCTCATTGAGCTAGTTTAGATTAAACATAAATTAAAAGGAAACATTTACAAGACTTTTACTTTAGGAGCACTCAAACGTGTGCATCTAATTTACAGCTAGGATTGAACAATACGTGAAAAGTCAATGAGCCATTATGATACATTACTCATTTTAAATTAACTGTTTTTTTCAACTGAAAATACTTCTTACCTTTGTGAAAGAAAAGTCAAATAATATTGTTGCAACGAGCGGAGCAAATACGAGGAGGACATCAGCAACCTGTACAAACAGCTGGATGACAAGAATAGACTAAAGACAATACACAACATTAGAAGCACAGTTTGGAGACAACCTGCTTAAAATACTTTCATTTTCTCAATTATTATTACTTAATGTCATTTTCTTATTTAAACATGGATTTCATAAGGATGATCATTTTTGCATGAACTCACTCTGACCCCACGTCCCTCCCAAGAGGAGCTGTGCCGGCTGCAAACGGAGAACCAGCTGAAGGAGGAGGTGAAGGAGGTGCTGCAGGCGCTGGAGGAGCAGCTGGAGAACCACCACAAGCAGCTCAGCCGCCTCAGAGATCCAAGACAAGCAGAGGATGATGGACGAGCTCCTTCTTGTTTCAACCAGGGCCTGTTACCAGCTAACACATCACACTACATTTTCTGTCCAGACTGCTGAATGATCAGAGGGAAAACCAAACCCTGGGGTATTCCAAACTAACGTGCAATGGCACATAAAATACATAACCAACATAACAGCATAACAACAACCAAGTGTCATGTCATTTAAAAACCCAACAGTCTGCAGAAGTCTGAACTCTGCATGCAGAGGGTGCTGCACGTAGTGTTGTAGTCATGACCACACTAAGACCAAGACCACAAATATCTTTGTGTGCAGGGGACGTTTTACTCACTTGGACCGTAACACCGGGAAGGTTGTGGTCGTAACTAAATCAAACTAGAAATGGAGTTAAGTTATTTCTTGTTTTTTCCTTCTAGTCCCGAGACCTTCAAGGAGTCTCAGGGAGCACATGAGGGTGTTCCAAGACTTCTGATTGGCCCTTATTTTTTAAAATAACTGTATTTCTCCGCCTGTTTTTGTTAACGATGCTGAGTTTCCTACAAACATCCATTCAACACAACCACACGTAATCAAAGCATTTCTTTGAATGATCACCTGTCTGTTTCTCTCGTCGGTTTTCTTATATCTGTAGCTCTGGATTTATCAACAGGAAGTGCTCTGGAGTGCAACAGGAAGTGCTCTGGAGTGCAACAGGAAGTGCTCTGGACTTAGCAACAGGAAGTTATAAAGGAAACAGGAAGTGCAGGGTTCTTTCTTTAATCTTCAAGGCTGCCCACAGCAGGCAGCAACAGCAGTGTAAGTTCCTTTACTGGAGTTAAGGTTTAGCATCAGCATGTAGCTTAGCATTAGCCTTGTTATTTATTGCATCTGATGTAGCATACCATGTGGTTTAGCATTAACATGTGGCTTAGCATTAGCATGTAGCTTAGCATTAGCCTTGTTATGCATTGCATCTGATGGAGCACACCATGTGGTTTAGCATTAACATGTGGCTTAGCATTAGCATGTAGCTTAGCATTAGCCTTGTTATTTATTGCATCTGATGTAGCACACCATGTGGTTTAGCATTAACATGTGGCTTAGCATTAGCATGTAGCTACAGTATCTGTCGTCTATCTGCAGCTGTACTGAATGAGGTATTTTAATCCTCTGCATCTTCAGTGTCACAGTAACTTTGTCTGTTTGGTGATGTTGGATTAGCAGAGTTTAATAACACACACACACATACATATATATATATATATATATATATATACACACACACAGTGGTAACACATGTTTTTATTTCTTAACACAAGGCTTTAAACAGAAAGAAGACAATTGAAACAGCTTGAACAAACTTCTTATTTTATTTATTATTAAATTAATAAATATTTATAATATTAATCATTTCTAATATATTTTTAAATATTATAAAATATTTTATTTTTTAACAGTTTTTATTTTTAATGAATTCCCCAATTTAAATGCAAATCAAACATTTTTAACATTCTCTCTCTCTCTACAGATAGATGATCCCACACCTGTGCACCTCATTTCTACATACTCACCTGTGCATGCTTTGCTATGACGATTGTCTTTGTTGGTCCAAACTAAATCGAAACATTGTCTTTCAATTGCAGGAGCTGCACCTGAAGGGAGCAAAGAGATGGTCTGCCACATATTCACCACATTGAATAAGGACTGAAAACTACAAGACACAACAATAAACTAATACAAGTTCTTGCTAATGCTAACCTACATGCTAATGCTAACCTACATGCTAATGCTAACATACATGCTAAGCCACATCAGATGCAATACATAACAAATTATAACAATGCTAAGCTACATGCTAATGCTAAACCTTAACTTCAGTAAAGGAACTTACATTGCTGCCTGCTGTGGGCAGCCTTGAAGATTAAAGAAACAACCCTCAACTTCCTGTTTCCTTTATAACTTCCTGTTCCCTCAATGACCTACAGAGAGGAGAGTTGTCTTCTTGTCTTAACATATCATATAAAAACTGTCTCCACTCACTTCACTGATGCTCCATATTTTACTTTATTACTATTTACTTTATTTTACATATTGAACATTGTCCATTTACTATTCTGTTTTTGTACATTTACATTTAATCTTTCTATTTAAGACTAGTAATGTTAAATTAATCCTGGTTGTATATATTCTCATTCTTAGTTTTGATATTTTTACTACTTATTTACTTTGTATTTAATATTATATTGTTTTAGATTTGCTAACATTGTGTTTTTTACTCATATTGTGTGTTAGATAACCTGCTGCTGTAACGCCACAATTTACCAGTTTGGGATCAATAAAGTCATTCTATTCTATTCTTAACTTTCATACAACACTTTTAAATAAAAGGCTCTGACATGTTAAAAAACTTCACACACACTTCATTTTCTCCATAAACCCCTACTTGTGTTACTCTCCAAACACCAGGGGAACTTTGCCCCCCCCCAGTGGTTCCCAATGCTGCTGATTAAAGAACCCTCAACCTAATTTGTGAAATGTCCACATCAATTCTTTCTTGCTGTTATCACATCATGTATACAGTGTCTCTAGTTTAATAATGAAGTCATAGAATGGTTATGAGTAAGCTAGTTACAGTATGGTTATA